AGACGTGGCAGTGGAAGGTGTCAAAGCAGTTTGGAGACAAAAACAAAGTAAAGAACAAAAAAAAAGAAAACGATTATTAGATTATTAAATTAGTCATCGATTATTTTAATAATCGATTAGTCGTCGATTAATCGTGGCAGTCCTAGTCGTGAGCAGAGCTCAGTGTTTTTAGGAGAGATGAGACTGTCGGAGGGCGACCATTGATACTGCTGGATTATTTTTATGGAACATGATGGAAACTTTTTATTTCAGAGGGCGACCATTGATACTGCTGGATTATTTTTATGGAACATGGAAACTTTTTGTTTCAGTGGGCGACCGCTCCCCCTCCCCCTCGAACGATTGGTCGCACCAGTGCGRCCGGACATTTGTTTTAGTCGCACTATTAGGAAATCAGGTCGCATATGTGACCAAATTGGTTGCACTCTAGAGCCCTGTAGAACAGTAGATCGTTGGAAATGGGAACATGTGTGGTCTTTGAGAATTACAGTGGGGAAAAAAACATTTTGAAAGAACAAAAATTATGTTAATTATACAAAGTGTTGGGACTTTACGTTGCATTTTATCAAAAACATAAATCCTTTATTTTAGTTGTCTCCACTCTGCTTTACTCTTTGCCTAAGCGTGTGTGTATTGTCACGTTGACTTTGATCTTCTCTTCATTTCCAGAGGAATGAGAAAGGGCCAGCCTGATTGTGTGTCTCTTCCTGCTGGAGATCATCACTGGTGGAACCCAGCTGGCCAACACTCAGGTCGCTGTCATCTGTTCAAAGTGTGTCATCTGGCCCTGGTGGCTCTCGCTCTTGGCAGAGCCGAGAGTTCTCACGCTGCGACATCCACTTCACTTTCCTTCTCTCTCTGTCCTCCGTCAGCTCTCAGCTGGAGGGCGGCCATTTGAGATGGTGCAGAAATATGCCAAGCAGCACAAAGCTTTGCTACAGAGCCTGGCACTGCACCCGTGGGTCCTACAGTGATAAACCTGGTTCTCTCCAGGCTGCCCTTGTGGGTCTGTGGGCAGGCCTAAGTCTCTCTTTAGCATTAGCACACACTCGGACRTTGTGAAGTTGTTGGATAGAGAAGTGTCCCTGGTGAAGGAGAACGACTGAGGCAGAAAGTTGTACTAAAAACGACATGCATCACTGATTGCTTTTGGACTAAAACATGAACCTTCAGAACATTTTGATTTTCGGTCTCTTCTTCGCCTCCTCCTGTCTGCCTGCTCGTCTGACCAGGATGAGCTTGAGAGAGATTGTGAATGCTAAATGAGCTGTAGGTGTCAAAGGGGAGATGCTCCCGCCCCTCATCGYTTCCTGTGTTATGATACAATCTTTCCTCTCTGCTGAGGAACAGGGCTGATGGGCTGACAGGCATGAAAAACACACAGGAACTGAACATCAGACGGGCGAACAGAAGAAAAAGCCAAAGTCAGATCAGCGAGAGCTCAGCAGGCTGTGCTTGAAGAAAACGATTGTTTTTAGTGTCTCGGGAGTATCTGGTGCTCTGCTTTAAACACACAGACTGGATGGAAACTTAGGTTTCCCTGAAACATCTATCGTTTTGTTCCTATGTGTGTCCATTCTGGAAATAAATATTTTGCATAAACGGTCACTGGGGTTGGAAGGAACTGTTGCTGTTTAATCATTGAGTTAGAAAAAAAATTCACATTATAAACAGTGACGACATAATGCTATCAGTAGCTTAGACAAATAGAATAAAAGTATTAGATCTAACTGATAAGATCTTCTGTCCAGAAAGACAGTAGGAATAATTATTCAGGAGAAYTGCAGTATTCATATATAATCAGCAAAAACACTAAAATTATGTTCAGCCTTTCTGATGGTGTAACTAAAACAGACATGGTCACTCCTGGTCCTGGAGGGCCGCAGCCCTACATGTTTTACATGTTTCCTGCTCCAACACACCTGATTCAGTCACTGAACTACCTCTTCATGTTCTGCAGTACGGAGGACCGACACTGACATCATTAGAAATAAAAGCAGAAATAGATAAATGAACCATTAAATGAATAAACACATTTTAAATGCACCAAATTAATTAAAAAAGAAAACTTTACCTCATGTTTTATAATTTAAATGACCTTCATAT